AGCGTCATAAGACGACTCAGGGCGGAAAACCGGCCCCGGCGAAGTGGACCCGACCTCCGGGGCCCACGCATCGAAGAAGTTGGAGCCGGAGCGGCCGGATGTCTGGGTCTGGAGGAAGCGCAGACGCTCTCAGGCACCGCGCGCGGTGGAGAGGCAAAGTGGTTTGCCAGCGAAGAGCTTGCGGGTGAGGAGTGGAAGTTTGGCTGCACGTGCGGCGTGCCACAAGAATGGCCCTGCCTTCGAGGATCGTTGGCGAGTTGTCGTCTCTTCATCGGCGGACGGCGGCGTAAGGTAGGCGGAAGTAGAGCGAGGCCGCCTCCGCCAGCGGAAGCCAGCGGAAGGGCGGCGGAAGGCAGCGGAAGTACAAGGTGCACTCCCGAGAGAGGACAACGTTTTGGGTTCAGGGTGTTTCAGATAGGGATGAGGAGGAGGAGGAAGAGGAGGAGGAGAAGGAGGAGGAGGAGGAGGAGTCGGAGGTGGAGGAGGAGGAGGTGGTGGAGGAGGAGGAGGAGGAAGAGGAGGCGGTGAAGGAGGAGGAGGAGGAGAGGGATGAAGAGGAGGAGGGGAGGAGGAGGAGAGGAGGAGGAGGAGGAGGCGCAGGAGGGAGGAAGTGGAGGAGATGGAGGAGGAGGAAGCGGAGGGGGGGGAGGAGGAGGAGGAGGAGAGGGGAGGAGGAAGATGTGGAGGAGGAGGAGTCGGAGGTGGAGGAGGAGTCGGAGGTGGTGGAGGAGGAGGAGGAGGAGGAGGAGGAGGAGGAGGAGGAGGAGGGAGGAGGGGGGAGAGGAGGAGGAGGAGGAGGTGGAGGAGGAAGAGGTGGGGGAGGAGGAGGAGAAAGCGGTGACTCGAAGCGACGTGATTCGGAGCGACCCCTTCGCTAGAGTGACTTTTTGTCGGTTCGCAGCTCTCCCAGGGGCATGGGGGGGAGGGGCGGCAAACCCGAGCACGAATGGGCCGCTGCTGTCGCAGCGCATGCAGCAATCGGCAGGGAGAGCGAGCGCACCAGAGGCCACCCTTTCAAGTTCACAAGATGCTCCTGGGAGCCTTTCGTAATCACCTGAGTGGCCGCAGTGGCTCCTCCAGTGGCCACCAGGTGGCCCCCCGCGAGCCTCGAGCGGCCTCCAGTGGCTCCTCCAGTGGCCATCCAGTGGCCTCCAGTGGCCTCAAGTAGCCCCCTGTGGCCTCCGGTGGCGCCAGCCAACGACTGCAGACTACTGGAGGCGCAGGGAAGCCAGACTAAGTGACAAGAAAAGGCTCCCACGATCGTCTTCCTGAATCCAAGGGCGGAACAAAAAGCACACCCAGACCCCGACACCTGGCGTCTGCTCAACGGCCCCAGGCGTTCACTGCACGGCCCCGCCCTGCTCGATTCCTTCCCTGGGCGCGCTGGCCAAACGGCCTCGCTCTTCGAGTGCGTATTCTCGGGGGTGGCTGTGCTGCCCTCTGCTCGGAGCCAGCCCCGGGGAAGGAGCCAGGGGCGGCGTGCGGAGCGAGAGCCGGGGGCGGCGCCCGAGGCGCCGTCGAGGGGGGCCCCAGCGCAAATCCCAGAAATCCGTGCGGAGCGCCAACGGTTTATGCTCATGGCGCTGTTCCCCAATCAGTGCTTGCACTGAAGGGGTCCCACCCTGATGGTCCGCTACCGAAAATTTCCGGTAGCGCTCCGCAGAGATCGATCGCTACCGAAATACCGAAATGTAGCGCCCAATACCGGTATCAGAGCGTTCTGAAATCCGCTATTTCAGCGCCCTCAAACGAAGATCCGGTCGCTACCGAAATTCGGGGTGCGTCGAAATCGCTACCGAAAATTTCCGGTACCAGACCATCTGGGCAGCGGAAGTTGAAAGACTCGGCGAAAGTTTCTCGCCGATTTTGGTAGCAGGCTGGGTTCCGGGCTCCGGGTTCCCGGGTTCCTGGGTTCCTGTTTTTTTTTGTTCCGGGCCGATGTCGGTGGGTTCTGGGTTCCCAGGCTCCCGGGTTCCCGGTCGATCTCCTCAGCGAAAACCACCCATTGATTTGGGTTTTAGTTTGGTGTAATTTCTTCTTCTAATTTCTTGCCCAGGGTCACGCCTGCTCGCAGCCAGCAGGAGCCGCCTTGGCGGAGTGGCCCGCGCATGGGCGCGCAGCTGGAGGCTCACCGCCACGGACCGGTTTTCGGATGTTCGCCCCCTTCGAAGTGCGCCTGGCCCTCCCCGACCCCTCGCGCCGGAGGGGCTGGGGAGAAGAGAAGCGGGAGGGGCGAAGGGGAGGGAAGGAATTGAGTAGGGCCGAAGGTCAGAAAGCGCCTTCCTCTGCAGGACCACCAAGAAAGGGAGGTCGCTGTGGCCAAACGCCTCGCCAGTTCAGCCGACGAAGATGCGCAGCATCCAACCACTGGTTTATGTTCAACGTGTCGGCTTGACGTTGGGTGTGGTGCATGGATTTCAGCTTGCCCGAACAGGTGGGTTACTCCCCTTGACGCCCGTTTGGGGTGTTCTGCAGACCTGACCCCCCAGTCCTACTCAAGGCTGGGGAGAGGAGAGGGGGAGGGGCGAACGGGGTGGGGAGGATTGCTACAGAGCAGGCGGATGCTGAAGGCGCGCGAAGATCTTCTGCGCCAGCGAGGGCAAGCCGCGGCTGATGCAGAGGGACGATGGCTCCGAAGGAGCACGTGCCCTCGCCGAGGGATCCCTCGGCCAGCTCCCCAGGCGGCAGTCCGTACAGGGCGGCCAACGAGTTCGCGCGAAGCGCCGCCCGAGGCCTCTTCGGGTGGAGGCACCGACGCACACGCAGCCACGAATCGGATGTTCGTGGCTTGCACTGCAGGGCTCGCAGAGGCACAGGACAGGCAGCCCTTAATTTAGTTAGACGTTGGCCCGGGCGTCGAGCTCTTGCAGGTCTGACGCGTGCAGATGAACGAGCCATCCGAGCAATCGGCCACCCAGCAAGAGTGACCATGAGCGCGGAGGGCGCTCAGCTGGATCTTACAGTGCCTCGAAGACACGCCATGGGGGAGGCTCCACCACGCTGCCAAGCTCGTTGAGCTCTGAGCGCTTCCCCCGAATGCGCTGCCAGGCGGCGCCATGAGCTCGGACCCGCTCGTGAGCTTCTCTCGGCGCAGGCGGAGGACCTGCGGGACCACCATTCGGCACTCCGTCGAGTTCAAGGCATGTCGCTTGGCTGACGAAACTTTTTGATCCGCGGGTCGAGAGCGCACCTCTTCCGGTCGAAGCTAAGCGGGCCGCGCGAAGCTTGAATTAGGCAGAGAAGAGAAGGGAGGAAGCTGGCTGACGAAGCAGGCCACGCGTGAGAAGCAGGAGGTGAACACGCAGCGAGCTTGGCCCGGGGGAGACCCCGCGCCACGGGTCTCGCCGCTGGCCCTCCGGGAGGGCCGACGGGGACTTCCGAGGGCCCGGCGGCGGAGGCCACGGCAGCGGCTGCACAGAGCCTGCCCCGAGGGCCCCACGTGTCGCGGGCCGAGCGCTCCAGTGATGACCTCGGAGCGCCGACGAGGGGGAGGGGAAGAGACGAGGGTGGCGGAGAGAAGAGTCCAGAGGAGCAAGAAGGATGCCGGCACCGCCTCTCTTTCCTTGTTGCCACGGCGAGGTTCGCCGTGGAGTCCTGGTCAGGACTCGCCCCTGGAGAAGTCGGGGGGATTGCGGCATCGGATCGTCTTATATACTGTATATATATAAATATATATATATATATACACATTTATACACAGATCTCTCTATGAATGTATATGTAAATGTGTGTATTCACTTTGTCCCCCAGAGAAGGGCTTGGATGAGGAAGGGACGGAGGCCCCCCCAAGGAGGGAGGGCTCGGGCGAGAGCGGAGAGAGAGAGGAGGAGAGACCCAGAGGGGAGGAAGGGAAGGGACGTGGAGGGCGAGGGAGATTGGCCACGCGCAGAGGGGGGGGGAGGGGGGAGTGCTTCTTAGAAGCACTCCTGCTTCTTAGAAGGCGCGGGCCCTCTCTATAGATGTAAGGCCGGCGCCTTCTAAGGAGCAGCCTCCTTCTAAGAAGCCCTCCCCCCTCCCCCCACCCCCTTGTGCGCGCCGCCAAGAAGAGGACCCGCCCGAGGGAGCAGGGGCCCGGGCGCACGGGAGAGGTCATGGCAGGCCGCTCGGATCACGGAGGATGTCCTTGGGGAAAGGGTGCATGCCACAGCCGTGCGCGGTAGTGGCACCCTGTCCTCTGATGGCATCTCTTCGAGGATCTCCGAACCACGTGCCCATAATCGGGCGCTGCGGGTAGCGCAGCATTCAGCCAGGAGAGTGCAGTCCCACCAGGAGACCCACCGAGACACGGTGATTCTGAGTTCATTCTGCACAAGGCATGCGTATGACATGCAAGCAATGCAACGCGTGTGATATCATAGCAACGTGTATCATACTATCGTTTCGGAAAGCATGGCAGATGCCAATGATTCCGCTTAGTATGGCGAAGTATTGCATCGTATGGTATCGCCTATCTTGGCGGGCAATAGCGATCATTGCGTAGTCGTGCGCTACATGCGTAGTATCGCATACGACAGCATACTAAAGCCAACCGTGGCCTATGACTTAACACGGCACTGTAGCCTATGTCGTAACAGCGCTCAGCTTAACATAGCGTATCACACCACACGGTAGCATTGCCTCGCATGGGGCATCGTTCTCTAGCACAGCGCACCATTGCACAGCAAGGCGCTCTATAGCGCTGTGGTTCATGACATCCCTTGCCAGCGCACGACATGGCTTAGTTGATCATGTAACATATGGATGCTTCGGGAGCGGTAGCTTGCCATCGCACATCGCAGCCACTCATGGCATATCCTTGCTTGGCACGGCAACTCGTGCCGTGGCAAACCCGCCGCTCGGAGACCGCAGCACCGCACAGCACCGGCAGGACCTCGCAACGCTGCGCCGCATCGCGCAGCGCACCCGCACGGCACACCACGGCGCAGCCGAAAGCAGGGCTCGGCAGCGCAGAGCAGCACCCGCTCAGCATCGCACGGCGGCCCGGGCCCCGCCCCGCCGAGGTGTGAAGCGGGCCGCCGGCGAGGCCGCCGGCGAGTCGAGCGTCCACGTGCCCCAGGTGGTGCCCCCGCCGTCGAAGGCGGCCAAGGTCTCGGAGGACTCGGCCCGGTCCGCGCCCGCCTCCCGACCACCTCCGCCGCCGTCGCCGCCGCCGAGGCCGTCGCCATCGTGGCCCGCGCCGTGCTCGTCGCGGCCTTGCGGCCGCGCTCGCCTCCGGACCACCTCCGACGCCGTCGTGGCCGCCGCAGTCGTCATGGTCGGCGTCCTCGTCGTGCCTCGGCTGCGTCTGTGCCTGGGGCCCAGCGGCCACCCGCCCAGCAGCAAGGCGCCGCCAGCACGCACCCCCCGCACCCCGCCCGCGCACCGAGCGAGCACCGACTAGAAGGGGCAGCACGGACAGAAGCAGCAGGCCACCCAACAGCCCGGCACCACCGAACCGCCACTGGTGGATGTTTGGCGATGCTGCATCGGAATACGGGTGGTCGGAAGTGGTTCGATATTTGTGGTAGGATTGGGCGGTGGGTGAAGGGATGGGTAGCGGGTCGTTGTTGGGAGGCGGAGGAGAGGGAGGAGGAGGAGAAGGAGGAGGAGGAGGAGGAGGAGGAGGGGGAGCAGGAGGAGGAGGAGGGGGATGAGGAAGAGGAGGAGGAGGAGGGATCGTACGGAGGGGTCCTTGCATTCTTTTTCGAACACATGTCGTGGTAATGTGAGAAGCAAAAAGAACGCGTGTGCGAACAAGGGAAATGGAGGGAACCGCGAGAGAGAGAGAGAGAGAGACAATATGAACGTAACTGGAAACACATACCCTTCACTTTCACTACGCGAGGACAGCCTCGCGCTTGCGGTGTCCATTATTCTACACTGTCGTGTACCATCGCCTCCTTCGATGCTTATTGTTTTTGGTTGTTCATGCTGAACAGTCCTGGCGTTGCTCTTGCCTTCCCAGGACTGGGAAGAGCAGGAGTAGGAACATGTGGCAGATGATGCTACCAAAACAAATGGTGACAGCGGAACGGTAGACGCTGGTGGGGGGCTGGCCCTCCTTCGCGGGCGAGAGACGTTATCCGTATCCACGGCCTCGCGAGCCGGGCGCTTGGCCCGCGACCAAGTGGATGCGGGGCGTTTTTGCCGCGGACGCCCTTCGCGGAGCGTATTCATGCGAAAGCCTATCCACGGGATCGCGTCCTTGGAATCCTGACCGCGAGGGCTTGGATATGTCGGGGGCGGCAGGGGGGGGAAGGCACAGTGCCATGATATCTTCCCGGATTTGATGGCCCTCTTCTTATCTCGATGTGTCCTGTGGTCCCTCCTGGGCCGAGCACATGCCTCCAGCCATGCTTTGCGAACTCCCCCCTTGGACGCCCTCCTCTTGGACGCTCCCGAGTCTGGACGTGCTCGCCACGCTTGCACAAACCTGTGGCGTGGAGCAGACCGCACGTCTGCGCCCCACCGGGGGCACGGTGCACGCGCCCCCCAGACGTGGTCAGCCCGCCACTCCCCGCGTCTTGCGCCCGCGGGCGCAGGTCGACCCCTCCCCCCCCCCTTAGCTGGCCCTTTCGAGACATGTTCGCGTCGAGCCTTAAAGTCGGGCCTGTCCCCCTACAGGGGGATCTTCGACGAAAAATAAAGCAGATTCCAAACATAGTCCAAAAATAGTCTGGAGACTTTTTTTGTAAACAATGTTTGTTTGACCTTTTTGGGTTTTTGTTTTTTTCGTCGAACATCCCCCTGTAGGGGGACACGCCAGTTTGGCCGGGGAACTTTCACGGTCAGAAGAGGAACAGATACCAGCATCGCTGCTCCTCCCTCGTCGCCACGGCTGGATTCGCTTCGAAGTCTTCGTCAGAATGTACCCCACGAGAGGTCTGGGGAGTAGCAGCATCGGCACTTCTTGGTTGCCCCAACATTTGCAGACAATGCATGCGTTGGGTAGGTGCCACCCAGCATCAAGGAGTCCATTGCTATCCCGCTTCCGTGACGGGAGTCGAAGGACGAGCAGAAACGGGAAGGGGATAATCCGAAGGATCATGGTTTTCGTAGGGGGGGTGGATGGCGAGGAAGAGGATGCGGCGGAAGAGGGGGGCCATGCGTGTAAGACGATCGATGGACGATCTATGTTTTGCGCGTTTCCGTTCATCGCAGCCTTCCTTGACACTTGGATTCCTGTGGGAGGGACCGGTGATAGATGCAGACAAGACGTGGCAGCGACGCAGAGAAGCAGAAACAGACGGAGGGCGCAGAGGAGGGGCAAGGTGGATGAAGACAACCTTTTCGATGTGACGTGCCAGCCGCATCTTCAGAATCCACTTCTCCAGGTCGGAAAGAGACTTATTGTTGTAGCATCTCGGCTGGATGTTCCGAGGCGGAGCGGATTCAGTTAGAACCCTCCCATTCAAGATTCAAGCCCAGAACACCAAACAGTCGCGCACACACGGTGTGCCATGCTCCTCTGACTGGCCCATCGCGGGTCATATTGGGTGTGGTAGAGCACGAGACGGTCGTTGGATACTCGCTGCATCCCCAGGGCGGCATCAAAGTTTATCAAAGTTTCGTTCACATGGCGGCTGCACTGCTGCGGCACGAGCGCTGGATGACTGGTCGGAACGGAGGAAGAGAGCAGCACGAGAAGAGCTGCGAGGCGGAATGAGGAGCAGGTGCAGGAGACCGAGGAGAGACGACCAGGCTGGGCAGGAGGGGCGACAGAGTGGCGAGATGGGAGCGCGAGGACGGAGGGAGGGGCAAGGGGACGGAGAAGCGAGGGTGGAGGAGATCGGAGAGGCGAGGGAGGTGGCATGGCGCGGGGAGGGGGAGGCGAAGGGGAGGGGGTGCAGTCGGGAGGAGGCGGAGGCTGCCGAGCAGGGCGAGGCGGACCGCTCCCCACCGAGCGGGCATGCCTCGCACCCCCGGCGAGCGGCGCCCGCCAAACCCGCGCCCGCCGAGGAGCCCGCCACGTGCTCCGCCGCCGAGGACCCCGCCAGCGCCTGCCCCGGCGCCGACTGGACCCCCGAGGAGCCCCCGCCCCCGCGGACCACCTCCTCCTCCTCCTCCTCCTCCTCCTCCTCCTCCTCCTCCTCCTCGCTCCTCCTCGCTCCTCGCTCCTCGCTCCTCCTCGCTCCTCCTCCTCCTCCTCCTCCTCCTCCTCCTCCTCCTCCTCCTCCTCCTCCTCCTCCTCCTCCTCCTCCTCCTCTCCCTCCTCTCCCTCCTCTCCCTCCTCCTCCTCCGCCTCCTCCTCCTCCTCTTTCTACTCCTTCGTGGGCCCCCCCGAGCAGTAAACAAATTCAGGACGGGAGGTGTTTCTCGATCTTCGGCTTCCAGCGGCCCTCGCCGGGCCCTGGGGCCTTCAAAAACGACTCGGGGTGAGAAGCCGGTCCTGGGGAATGGGTCGAGACTTTCGGGGACCCCGTATTGAACAAATCGCGACATCGGATCTCTGGGTATTCATTACACCAGAGAAAGCCCCGGCCCCCGCGGACCACCTCCTTCGTGGGCCCCCTGGGCGGTGCGGCGACCGCGCCGTGTGCTGCGTCAGCAGGCGCGAAGCCCGTTTGGTAGCATTTTGTGAACATGTTGTACAACTCAGGGTTCTTTTAAGAATTCGCAAGAGAACGCGCGCGCTTTTGTTTGAAAATCCATGTTGCGAAACCTTGTTTATTCCCATGATTATTGGGCACTAGATTTTGAAACTGCTCCGAAACCGAAGGTTTTTGAAGGATTTCGACACGCGCGCGCGACGACGCGCGCGCGTGCGCACTTCGTCCCATGTGTTGCAAGGGATTCCTGAAATTTTTGATTCGTGATAAACGAGTGCGCGTGCATAGCATTTGTTGCCAGGGAACTGGGGAACCGAGAGGGGGCCGATGCTGGTTGGGCTGGGATGACTTTTGCTTGGTTGGGCCTTCTTGGGGGTGTTCCTGGAGGCCTCTCGGGGCGTCTTGCAGGCATCGTGGGCAGAGTCTGGAGGCCGCCAAGGCGTTTTGGACAAGCCGTTCGGCGATTCGGGGCCCTCTGGGACCGTCTGGGGGGCCTCTTCCGGCACGCTCGGCCCGTCCCAGTGCTTTCTGGGACACCCCGAGCCCGCCGGGGGTAGTCGTATGTGGGTTGCAACCCCCCATGGGATCTTCCCCCCAGGACCCCCCCCCGACGGGGGAGGGATCAAAGGTAAAGGGGATTCCCTTCGACTCGATTGCGACGTTGCTCGATTTTTTCTTTCACGGGCAAGCTTGAGGCAGAGGGTGCAGGGAAAGGCGACGACGGAGACGACCATTGACGTAGACGACGACTCGAACAGACAAACCCTTCACAGGCGCCGACAGGATCGGAGGATTTTTGAAAAACTTGGGATTGACAACTCTTTGCTCGCCCAATCATCCTGCCCACCCGCCCGCAGGTTGGTTCACAAAGCCCATGCGGCGGCAATTGCGATGAGTGTTTGGTGCTGGCTGGTGCATCTCTGCGGCCGCGCTAGCCCGCGCATGCTCGCGCGCGCAACGGCCAGCTAGTTCGGCGCGACCGACGCGGCCGCGGTGGCGGTGTCCGCTGTGCACATCCCAGCGGGCCTTTCACTGCGAGTCGGCGACTTGGGCGGGCGCGGTACCATGGCGACGTCGACAACGGTAGGCACCATGACGATAGTAGCGATGATGGCGACGATGATGGTGATGACGACAGCAAGGCCAATGATGGTGCCGATGCTGATCATGCCGATACCGATGATGGTGTCCCCGCGTCGGCGGCGAACATTTTTGGACGGGTTTTGACATGCGCGCGGGGCTGATGCGCGCGAGTGGCCCGCAAGGTCTTATTCGACTGGGATCGCTCCACCACCCCCAGCTCGCGCGCAAGGGCGTTCGAATGCTTTTGGCATGCGCGCGCGAGAAGCACGTTGCGAGTATTGAGACGCATCTAGTTGTCGTAAGGATTCGCAGAAGCGCGCGACAACTTGGTCCGAATACTGAAATTGCTAATTCATATGTTGTCGGTTTCATATGTGTTTGGCAATCGGTTTTGGAATATTTAGAAAGCCGTTTGGGAAGGATGTCGGCATGCGCGCGCGACGACGCGCGCGTGTGCACTTCGTATCATTCGTTGCAAGGGAGTCTTAGGAATTAATGTTTCTGGGTAAGCGGGTGCGCGCGCGTAATTGTTGTCCAGGCAATGGCGGGGGGAGGTCGATCCCAGCTTGGTTGGGATGCTGCGGTTCATCTATAGGATGGACGATGGGACAGAATCGCACGTAAAACTGCAATGCGAAAAGGCGGGCGGATAATCATGGGGAGAAGGCCCCTCCTGAGGTTCGACCAGTGGGCGAGACAAGCCCGAATGCCTCCGAGTTTGGGCCTGGGACTCTGCCGCACGCCCCGTGTTTGTCGTGACCCGCCGAGGCGGTCGAGGACCCCCCAGGCTTAAGTCGGGCATGTCCCCCATACAGGAGGACTGTTCAAAAGGCACTCCAACAATGGTACGGGGGCGGTTGTTTGAACATTGTTTTTGGGTCATAGTTGATAAGTCGTTGCTGTTTTCTCTCCAAAACCCGACTGTCGGAGGACGTGCCAGACCTCCCCCGAGGCGCGCCGAGGAGGCCGAGGCCCCCCCGAGGGGCCCGCCGAGCCCGGGCCCGGGCTCGTGCCGCACACGGCCCGCGCCTGCCCCGCCGAGGAGGTCGAGGACCCCCCGGGCGTGTCGCCGCAGGCCGCCGAGGGGCCCGCCGGCGCTGGCACCGCGGACGGCCCCGGCGCTCAGACGCGGCCCTCGCCGCGGTCCCCTCCCCTGAGATCTTGGCGTTGCAAGTCGTTCGCACGGGCGTATAGTCGCTCGATTGCAGGCCCCGGGATCCTCAGAGATCGATGCAGTCCGAGAAACGGCGCAGAGATAGGGGGTCCGGGGCTCTGGGCGCGAGTTTTCGCGATGTTGCCTTTTCTTGCAACGTTGGATCGCAGGGTCTCGGGGCCCCCCGAACTCGGCGGTGAGGCCCGGAGGGGAAGTTCGAGTTTCGTCGGAGCGTGGTTCTAAGATCCAGGTGGGTACGGGGAGGGTGCCCACATGTTCTTAGTGTTTTTGTTGGGTTGGCGCGCATTCGGCGCGTATTTGGCGCGTCGTCGTCGTCGTCGTCGTCGTCGTCGTCGTCGTCGTCGTCGTCGTGTCGCGCGTGTGGCGCCTCCTGTCCGCCAGCTAGCGCGTTTGACGTTGCTCTCACGCTCGCCCATTGTCGTTCCCACGCGCGCTTGGCGTATGGCTGCTTCGCTCTCGCGCTGGCTTGTTGGATCTTCTTGTGCGCGCTGGGCAGGGCCGCTCTCGGATGTGCTGTGTGTCTTGGGCGGTGGGTGAGACCCCGCCTTCCTGTGCCCTGTCTCCCTGATTACAGCTGTGCGTAGCCCGCCTAGCTTCCAGCGGAAGAGGTTCGCTCTCGCCCCGCAGATCAAAAAAAAGTTTTGGGCGGTGGAGGATCTCCCGCTCTCGAAGGGTGTTCTTCTGCCGAAAGTCAGAGGCGACGATAAGGGGCGAGTCGCCCAGGGGAGAGCAATACACGTATTCAGGTTCGCCGATAATCGATGTTTTCGGAAAGGTTCTCGGGCGAAAACGTGCAATGCCCGCCCCTAGGCTATTCGCCCCTATCGTCGCCGCCGACAACGCCCGACCGCGAAGCGGCAGCGGTGGCTCGCGCGCCTGGGGTGGGCCACCCCGCGTCCCCCCGTGAAAGCCGCGCGACAACGGCCACTCTCGCCCAGGTTTATGATGTTCCAACCTACTTTAGCCTTGATCACCAGGAAGCGTTTCGAGCACCTGAAAAGTACAGACACTCGATTCGAAGGTTCTCACGTGTCGGGCCCTGGGAGCCACTCGTCCGACACTGTTTCGGCACTCTTTCGATACTTTTTCGGGGACTCGAAATTGTTTTTGGGACGTGGTTCTTAAGCACGATGAGAACAACAGAAGCCCAGGGGGGCGGGTTTTCTTGGAAGGCTCGGAAGGCCCTGTGCATCCTGCGAAGCTTTGTGGGAGCACTTGGCCTTTGTCTCGAGCTTGCGCGAGCTTGCAAACATGCCTTGCTGAACAAGGCATTATGGTTTCTAAGTGTGTATATGGCCTGATATGTCAGATGGAGGCTTGACAATCCAAGCGTCTGCTCTGTATTCTCGGTTGCGTGATTGTGTCGAGGTCAGAGTGGCCTCGAGGTAACGTGCATTGCCAATACGAGCGGCTCTGGGCCGCAATTGCACAGATCTGCTACCCGCCGTTTCTGGTCAAAACGTGCAAGGCTGGCGTTTCAGAGTCCAACCAAGCATCTATTGCTCTGGCGTGCCTGTTTTTTTTTGTGGAGGCAGGCGGGAGGGGGCCGATGGCGAGCATAACTGTGGTCGTTGTGCTTCTTTCAATTCAACGTGATTCGTACGTTCTCGCCCATCATCCGGAGCTTGAACATTTGCACGGTTTTGTGATTGTGTCGAGGTCAGAGGGGCCTCGAGGTAAGTTGCATTGCCGATGCGAGTGGCCCTGGGCCGCAATCGCGCAGATGCATTGGCCGTCGGCTCCGGTGAAACCGTGCTTTTTATTATCCGTATACATTCATGCTATATAACATATGTATATGTATATGCATATCTATATGTATACACACGTATATATATACATATACATATATATATATATATCAAAGCTGGCGATCGAGAGTCGACCCACGCGTAGATATAGATATAGATATATGTTTACATTTTGTATGTATGCATACATCGATATACATGTATATGTATCTATAGTTGTATATAAATGTATATCGGTGTGTGCGTATGGATTCCTCCACTTGGTTGTTTCTCTCTTTCTCTATCTCGCCCTCTCTATAGCCTGCGGCTCCCATCTTTGCACCTCCGCCAATACCTTGCGGCACCCATCCTCTTAGGTTTCCTTTCCGCTTTCCCGTCCCCCCACTTCCTCCATTGTCTCCTCCTCCTCCTCTTCCTCCGCCAGTCCGCCGCGGCCACAGTGGCGTAGTGTTAGCCCAGGAAGGCTATTACGATACCCCCTTGTGTTGTCGTTAGCACCGAAACGAAAATCAGTAATTCGCGGGGGGGCATTTTTTTACACAAAAATCGGAACGGCATATTGAGCACCGCAGCCTCAACATGTAGATAAGTATTGCCTACCCCCTCTGCGAACGGCATCTATGGTAAGGATTTGCGGCGCAAGCGCAATGACATTCAACGCCGAAAATGGCGAATTGCCAACACCCTTGATCTCACTGAAAAGCGTGCTGGGCACCGCCTAAGAGCGTTTTTGAAAAGTCGATTGTATTACTGGCGTGATCATAACGAAGCGGCAGCAGGTGCTGAGCTGAGCTGACAGTGGGCTGACCACACGCATGATCTGACGCCATTTTCTTCCTTAATCTTTCTCTTTCTCCTCGTTGCCGCCGCCCTCCCTTTTCCTATTGTA